ACTAACATCACACATTGAATTTGTTTCAGCATTGCTTCTGTTTTATATTTTGTTCTTTTGGTTGCGAGGCATATGGGATCTTAGCTCGCCAATCAGGAATTGAACCAGCAGCCCCTACTTTGGAAGGCAAAGTCCTAATGACTGGACCCTCAGGGAAGTCCGCAGAAGTGTGTTCACTTTGATAAGGCATTCCATTTGAAGAAATTACGACCCAGTTGATAATAATAAAAAAAATTCATTGGTGTGTTGATTGTGGTGTTGAAACATTTAGAAATAAGTTTAACCATCTTGTAGCTATGATACATTCATAATGGTAGATACAGATCTAAGATTCAAAAATTAGATCTCTAAGTCAATACAATCTGTAGAAATAGTGGTACCTAAGCAGAAATATGATTCTCTTTATAGTTTAACTCTCACACATGTTTTAAAAAAGACTGCTCTTCATTGCATTCATTTGTTTGTGCATTAATGGAAAAACATGCCTATGTATATAGACTTGCTATAAGACTTCTATTTGAGTACAACTGCTTTACACTGTTGTGTTAACTTCTGCCATAGAGCAACGTTAATCAGGTGTACATGTACATCTATACTCTTTTTTTTTTAATTTCCATCCCCTTTAAGTCACCACGAGCACTGAGTAGAGTTCCCCGTGCTCTCATAGAGTCTCATCAGCTATCTATTTTATACATAATATCAATAGAGTTTTTGTGTCAATCCCCATCTCCCAATCCATCCCACCCTCCCCCTCCCCCTACATGTCCATAGATTTGTTCTCTGCATCTGTGTCTGTATTTGTGCCCTGGAACTAGGATCTTCTTTGCCACGTTTTTAGATTCCACATGTAATGCATGAGTTAGTATATGATATTTGCTTCTCTTTTTCTGACTTACTTCACTTTATATGACAGTCTGTAGTTCCATCTACATCTCTGCAAATGGCTCAGTAGTATTCCATTGAATAAATACAGTATCCTTTCCTGGGAAATCACATGGACAGAGGAGCTTGGTGGCCTACAATCCATGGGGTCACAGAGAGTCTGACATGACTTAGTGATTAAACAACAACAACCACCTATTTATCCATTCCTCTATTGGTAGACATTTAGATTGCTTCCATGTCCTGGCTATTGTAAATAGCGTCGCTGCATTTGGGGTGCATGTACATTTTGGAATGATGGTTTTCTCTGGGTATACAGAATTTTACCAAATCTTTTAGAATTACCTAGTTCTGTCTAGGGAATTAAGGAGCAAATTAGAATGTAAAACAATGTATGAACTCATATGATCATGTGTCCATGGCTGGCTTTCTAGAAGCTTCATGATATTTCTTCTCTAATTCTTGGTTTTGAGTTCAGTCATCTTAACTTTCAACTTTATGGAGCATTCTACTAAATTTCTTTAATAGATAAAGGACCATAGAAACTTTCTGTTTTATCAAGTATGAATTTCAGCAATACATCTTTCAAGTAATGTGTCCGTTTCATCAAGAGCATTGATTCCAATAACATAAACCTGTTTATAGTTTTCTCATCCTATTTATCTATGTGGTTAGTGGTGGAAATCCATTTTTTCAATAAATACAGTTATCTAAATACTCAAATCACTCACATATGTGTGTGCCTATATATATATATATATATATATATATATATATATATATATATGTATATAAGATATATCAGTATTTTTATCTTGTATATGTGAGGTCTTGCCTTTCAATATCTCTTAAGAGTTTTTTGTCTTTTCTCTGTTCACTTACCTCTTTGTGTATCCACCCATCCAATTGAGCATTGCTCGATGTACTTTGAAGACAAAACCAGAACTCCAAGTGTATACACTCTGCTATACCTGTGGGTGAACTTAAAGAAAACCCTTGACTTTCATTACTATGCACTAAAGCATAGAAACATTTATTGCTGGTGCATTTGACATTGACCAGCCATAGACATTTGGAGGCTGTGTCTTTGTAGGAACTTAAATATTTATTCTGCTAAATATCACTCAGGTCTAGTGTTATTCTCTCAGGACTTGGACCAAATCTCTGAGCTTTCATCCAACCCTTGGAATATGGGTTATTCAACCATCTAAATCTTGTGGGTGGATGATCTTGTATACTGTAAGCATCGCGAGAACTGCAGGGGCTACGCAGCATCCTCTGTCCATGACAGTGGGGATGCCCAGTCCTTGCAAACCCTAGCATCCATTGCTCTTTGAAGCATACGAGGATGGAAGACAATCTTCAGATATTGTGAACTGTTACAACTTCCTGTCTGAATCTGTCAATCATCTTGCTCTTACAGACACTGCACGGACTTCATGGTCTTATGGATTGACCAAGGCTCAGCTCCTGCCCACCTTTGATACATAGTGATCCGAAAGGTAAGAAACATCAGTCCTTCAGCTAAATTGCAGAAGAGCCGGTGCTGTCAGAATACTGATTTATCCTGTCTTGGCCCATGGCATCTTCCACTTTCTCTCTATGGAGATTAGAGGGTGGAACACAAGCTCCTTTCCCTGTAATGAATAGATGGTTCCTAGGGACATTGTTCTGGAGCAGACTGTCCCATCCCACTGCAGTAAGAGGATCTATACCCATGTCCCCTAACCTGTGGTGGGTTAGTCCTTTTCCTCCTTCTCCCCTGGACACCACTAGGACATCTCCGTTTACTCCTCCTAAGAATTGTCTCTGGTGGAGAACCTGTCTTTTAAAGAGATATGTTTCTGGATGGTTAAATTTAACGTGCTTATTTGTGTGTGTTTTGTGTGTGTGTGTGTGTGTGTGTTTTTAAAACAGGGGCTTTCAGTACCGACACACATAACTTAGGTGTGAATTAAACCAATTTATTTAACACTCAGAAATCAAATGCCACCAAGCATTACATGATTAGTGACCAGGAGAGGTGAGATGTGAAAGGGAGTATGAGTGTAAAGAGAAAAAAGGGTCCTGTTAATCAGGAACCAGAAAGTCGTCTTCGTGTTGTTGATCTTGATTCCATGCAGAAGATGACGTGTCTGGTCTCGGTGACTCTTTCTGCAGGTGAATAAAACAGAACCAGAGGTTTAGTAGGGTCGATTGTGTGATGGCTAACAGGGGTGAGACTCGGGCTGTAGGCTGTCCCTGGTACAGGAGCTGGTAGGTGATCCAGTGTCAGAATCCTGGTGGATCTCACTACTCCACGTCTCTGTGATACAGGTGGGTGTCTATGTGGAATCTCTCCCAAGATGCCCATATGGGGTGACCTTTACCACTGGGGATTGATTGTGGGAATAATGATTTCAGGGTGCATGTTCTGGCTCGGTAAGTGGAGCACATGCCTAGTCTAGTCACATGAGTTTCGTCTTTGGGTTCATCAAGAATTCATTTTCTAATATTTATGTTATATTGGACTATAGTTGATTAGCTATGATATGTCAGTTTCAGGGGTATATCAATGTGATTAGCTTAAACATAAATACATGAATATATATTCTTTTTCTGAGTCCTTTCCTATTTACGTTTTCTCAGAGTATTGCATGTGGTTCTCTGCGCTATACAATAAGATCTTTTTGTCTCTCCATCCTGGATATATTATTTCGAATCTGCTAATCCCGAACTCCTGGTCCTTCTCTTCACCAGACCCTTCCCTCCCTGTGGCAACCACAAGCCTGTTCTCCATGTCTGTGAGTCTATTTCTATGTTGTAAATGAGTTCCTTCATGCCATATTTTAGAGGCCACATATATTGTGGCACAGAATCACACATCATGTGATGTTTGTCTTTCCCTTTCAGACTTACTCAGATTGAAAATCTGTTTGTCCGTCCATGTTGCTCCGAATGGCATGATTTCATTCTTCTTTATGGCTGAGTAATGTTTTATTGAGTATATGAAGCACATTATTTTTTCATAATAATCTGAAAGCTAGTGTGTTTTCTTTTGCCTATTTTTTTGATCAATTTTTCTCTCAACAGAAAATTAAAAACCACAGTTTAGTCTAAAGCAGTGTGGTTTTCTGGGGCTGTCTTAGTTTAGAATGTTTAAAGATCTCACTTTAAGAAAATCACCTCGTTAAGGGGAGTGAAAGTCACTCAGTTGTGTCTGACTCTTTGCTAACCCCTGGAGTAAAGAGCCCATGGAATTCTCCAGGCAATAATACTGGGGTAGGTAGCCTTTCCCTTCTTCAGGGCTTCTTCCAAACCTGGGATTGAACCAGGGTGTTCTGCATTGCAGGCAGAGTCTTCACCAACGGAGCTATCAGAGAAACCCCTGATAGAGGAATAGAATTCAAATCCATGTTTCAGACAGTGTGGTTGGAAGGCCTTTAGATTCTATCAGAATCACGTGAGATTAAACACTGATCTTGTAGAAACAAATTCTGAGCTCTCTTCAATGCCGGTTTCTTCTGGAGGAGGGAAGTGTGTGCACACAGCCATGAGGTCAGGGCTGACGGGAACGTAATTAGTTTCCACCAACTCATGGGGATTCTTGCTTCTCTCTGATGACTCTGGTCTGCAAGATTCCTGCAGGATAAAGCTTTCTCATCAAAGCTGCTCAGTGTTAATCAACCAACCCGTTTGCAATTTAATATGGTTCAAGAGAAGAGAAATTAATTTATGTAACAGACAAAGTTCTTTAGGATAGAATGTACATGTTTGGGATATGATCCTTACCTGAATAATTTGCTAGGTGTGAAATCACTACATGTGCTTTTTGACTTATTTAGCGGAACAACATTAGTAACAGGCCGTTTTCACTTACACTCACCTTATTTTGAATTCTGTAGTTTTGCACAGGGAGGACACTCATCTGAAGGAAAATCAAAAGGACAGAAAGAAATTATCCACCAATTACTACCATTGCCCTGGGTTTCCAAGGCTGTTTTTTTTTTTTTTAAGTAAGGGATTATGAAAACCATTATCTATGAACAAAGAAAATTTGAATAAATTGATTTGTTTCCTGTTACTATATCTACATGTCAAGGAAATTATATATTTAGGAAAAAGTATCATTTCATTACCAGTCTCGATGATATTCAAAACTTTTTTATCTTCAATCTTTGCTTCTTTTACCAACTCATTGAACTTCTCCAAGGCTTCAGCTTCAATATCATTTACCTTAACAGAGAAACATCACACAGAAAGCAGAATTTTTGCCCCTTAGAACCCAGAGAAACTTCTGAACGCAGAACAAAAACTTGAATATGCAAGTCAGATCTTCCCTTGATATAAATTAACCCTCAAACAGTTTCCATTTCCCCTGACAAAGATGTCTGCTGTCTGTCTTAGCAATTAATCCCTGTCAAACTTTAACTAGACTCCCGCCAGCATCAACAGCAGGACCCCAAAGACTTGAAGGAGCTCCATGAATTTGAGGCTCCATCCATTGCAGGATATATCCCACTTGCTCTGTGACCTACTTCCTAATACCTGTATCTGACATGCAGGTCTTGTTCTGAACCTAAATAAATAAGAAACACCATTCAGCTCTGACAGAACCACACTCACCATGTCACACATGATAGTGGGAGATGATTTAGTGTTTAATTAACTCACGCTTCCCCTCAATACCTGTTCAGAAATAGACTCATCTTCTGCTAATGGTATTCACATTTCTCAGTACCTCTATGTGGTGATGTGGAGTGATGTCAATGTTTATAAGAACAATGCATTTGAAAAATTGATCAGGATGAAGATTTATTATAAAAGTTTCTGTTCCAAGGCTTAGAGTGCACTGGAACACTGCTATAACATGAAGAAATTGAGAGAAGCCTCATTGATGCCATCATTGAAATGAGAGTGCTAAAAAGGAAAAACTGGAAACCAACACACTATTGCAATTATCCTATTAAAAATAAAAACTAATTAAAAATATTTTTAGTAAAACTCAATTTTTTATGTTTCAATATTGAGAGTGAAAATTATTAGAAATGGCTGATGATCTGATTCTCCCCATTTGTACAAGCTCCTTTTTGTTGGTAGATTTTGTTCCAGGGTCCTTAACTCACTGAACAAAGAGGCAGGCCTTGTGGACTGCATAATGGATATTTTCACCAAACACTGATATTCTGAATAAAAGTACTGGCAGTGGACATGTTACATGAGAATTTCGATGTGAATATGACAGTATCATACGTACCCAATATTACAGCAAATCTTGTCTTCACACCTTCATATATGTTATCAACTCATGCTACCAAAATTTTGTTGTACTTGTAAACAATTTCAAATACATTTGTACCCTCATCTGTGAGAGAGAGAAAAGATATATATATATATATATATATATACAACCCTACCTTCATTTATTGTCAATCAGATTTATGGTGGCAAATTGAGGATATTAGTGATGGTACATCCAGTTTTGATCTGGGTCTCACTCCATGTGTGGGCTGAATGCTGCAATTATTATGACATCAAGGAAAGCAGGCAAGACTTTTTCATTCCACCTTCTCATACAATTGACCTGATACACGTAAATTGTAGTCAAATATGTACTCCTTAGCCCGTGTAAAATTAAGAATGTTGTTCATGTTATTATAAAGAATTTAGGGATATAAGTCTTAGCCAGCATCCCCATGGCTTTGAACAGAAGCTACCTTCATGGTTGAACTCAGAATGATTTCCTTGGGCTCAGGTTCATTCACTTTACCTTGGATGGATGAAGATGTTTTAAGATTGGTTTTAAAAAGTGAATGACAGTGATGTGCAGACTCATAATGGACCTTTGAGATGTCAGTTTGTAAGGCTGTTGTAAATTGTCTATGAGAACCGAAGGAAATAGAGGTCTACACAGGTTCTTCTTAATGAGTGACACTCATAATTGGGAGGAGACCTCCAAGCAGTGTGTTTGAACCCTTGTCTCATGCCAAGGTAAACTGATTGGAAATCCTAGGGTCTGCAGCCTGATCATCCCTCTGATTGTTAGTAGGAGTAGAATTCAGACGAGTGAGCTTGTTGAATGTAGTTGTGCCAAAGCTTCCACCCAAATGCACTTTGACCAATGAAACACTCATACTTAGCACTCAATAGTATAAGTGTTGCTGGCTTTCTTTATTCCCCTGATGTTTTTTTCTACCCATTCACCCTTAAAAACAAAACATATTCAATGTGGTTAATCACAGCAATGAAAACCTTTGACATACAGGTAGAATTTTCTTTGTTTCTCCCCAAAGATTAGTGTGAGGTGTCACCAGAGTGCCTATGAGCAACGTGACCTTTTTAAAAGAGAAGAAACATGTTTTCTGAGATCAAGTCAGTGTCGTGTGACAGGCATGGTTTCTCCTTACATTAAATCTGAGCAGCAGTTCCACAGATAAACTGCAGATACAAAGCAAGTTGTGCTGAAAGCCAAACAAACGTAGAGAAATGTAGAATTTTTGGAAAAAACTAACAGAATACACCTTTTAAAAATGAGTCCCTGGAAACAGAAATGCATCACCACCATGAAAGACCTTGTGGGTTCTCACAACCCAGGCAATGATTCATTAGAGGATATATTAAGAAAAAGTCATAAAAATTAGAGAAAGAAAGGTTTAATTTTTATCAAAACACACTATCCTTCCATCATAACACCATAAGAGGGTTAAATATTGGAAGTCACATGCATGCATACGTGCACACTGACACAAATAGACACACAAGCAAATACATAAATACACATGATATGCTTATATGACATAGGGAAAAATTATATATATAATATATGATAAATATACATTGTCATTATATAACAAAAGACTTTGACTTCACATATATCATGTCTGAATAAAGGTATATTTGCCACCTAGCATACGCATGAAACAAATATTAAACAGACAACAACCCAACAAAAATTGAATAAACTTTTTGTCAGATACCTTGGAAAACAGTTTCCACAATGAATTGTGTTCACTGTTATTACTCACTATGAAACTACATTGAAGTTACTCAAAACAACCAAACTTGAAAGAAAATGCAGTTTATTCTAACTGCAAAATATACAAAATTTTATCTATGCAAACAACACCCTTTCACTTGGCTTGAAAAATGTGACTCCCTACCTAAGCAGAGTCAGAGACAAACTTTTAAATATTCATGCTGATGGGGAAAAGGATGCAGGGCTCATACTCTTGTCATCTGAAGTTTCAGAAGAGGAGAGAGTCGTTAGATCCATTATTACCTGTGGCTCAAGGGACAGATATTTAATGGCAAGGAAAAGGAGATTTCTGGCAGAGATGGTGGAATTTTAGATCTGGACTGTGGAGGTCACGAAAAAGGTGTGCTTCTGTCAAAACACACTGAAGTATGCCATCCACAAAGGTGCATATAATTACACCCAAATACACTACAGTAAAGTTGTTTTCACAAAGTGTAGCCTCATGTCAATACAAACATAAAACTCAAAAATTGCAAAAATAGCCAAGAGAAAGATAATATGGTATTCTTTAAAAAATTAGTGAAAACAGACTGTTATATCTCCTGACATAGGATGTATGTAAAACTGTGCATCTATATCTGTATGTGTGGTGCTAATTTGACCCGGGTCCGATCCCTGGGTCGGGAAAATCCCCTGGAGAAGGAAATGGCACCCCACTCCAGTGCTCTTGCCTGGAAAATCCCATGGATGGAGGAGCCTGGTGGGCTACAGTCCACGGGGTCGCAAAGAGTCGGACACGACTAAGTGACTTCACTTTCAGTTTTCACTTTCATTCATTGGAGAAGGAAATGGCAACCCACTCCAGTGTTCTTGCCTGGAGAATCCCAGGGACGGGGGAGCCTGGTGGGCTGCCGTCTATGGGGTCGCACAGAGTCGGACACGACTGAAGTGACTTAGCAGCAGCAGCAGCAGTAAACCGTCTGCAGTGTATCGGACATTCCCTGAGTGGTCCTTGGGGCTGTGAGTCTTTAGTAAACTCAGCGGTGATGAAACCTCCCTTGAGGAAGCCCCGAGGGCAGCGCTCACTGTGTGTTCTGCCTGCACCCTCAGCTTCTGGGTTCAGTGGGAACCATCTCTTGCAAATTCAGCAGGAAGAGATCAAGCCCCTGGTGGGGACTGTGGATTCCAGGACACGAGCCTTTTCCCTCTGCTGTGTTCATCTTTCCTTCAAAGAGCTGATGCAAGTGGAGCTTCTGGGACCTCCCTACCCCCATTCTAAGCAAAGGTTCCAAGACATTCAGAGAGCCTGCTCAGCCGCACAGCCCAGGGAGTCCTGCTCTCAACATCACCCAGAGGGCTCCCGGCAGACAGGGAAGACACACCTTCCCTCAGGCTCGGGGTCTGTAGGTGTTTTCCCTCTGGGTTATTTCTACTTACTTGACAAAAAAGTAGAAGTCTACTGTGCTCTTTTTATCATCAGGCAATACGACACAAGTAAACCCTGAAAGGCGTGTTTTCAATGATCTTTGCCTTGTCACTGGATGCAATGTAGAAGGTTCTCCATTCTCCTGAAAGCTAACGGCAAAATTCCCCTTAGAAATTTCAGTACTTGTCTTTTTATTTCATCCAGGATCATCCCTCATGAATCTCCCAGTGCTTGTGCAAATCAGCACTTGTCATCTGACTTGACTGAAGAAAGCAACTATGATAAAATAAATCTAAAACTGAACTCAGAGGGAAAGAAAAAATTAAGACATTTCTGACGTAACTTGAGCTCCGATGTCAAATGCAAGAACTCCAACAGCTGCCTGGCTGATCAGCTTTCTCTGTCACAAGGGCAGGGAAAAGTGCATGAGGGTCAATTAATACAGAGTAGAGATGCTGCCGAGACCAAATGGAAGAGGTATAGAGCCAGGAAGTGGAGCAGAGCTGAGTTGAAGGGAGATGGTTCCGCTTATGGATCCACATAACAAAATCACAAAAGGGACACACACTCACACACAAGACCTCCCAGATCAGACCGTCCCTGGTACCTCGGAGAGACTTTGCTCAGCTTCCTCTTCTTGGGCAGAACATGCCAGGCCAAGGAGAAGAGTCAGGAACAGAACCTTCATCTTGTGTATCCCGTGGTCTTTCTTCTGGAAAAGCTGAGGGTGTCCCAGAGGTTGGAGAGGATGGGAATTGTGCCACTTTTTATAGGATCGCTATGTTGGCATGTTGCGTCATGGACCAATGGTTGTCCCTCCTAAGATGAAGGTTG